GGAAGACCTGAAGAACCAGGATGGGTGCAGATTGTCCTGCTGACAATCCATCTACTGACTTGATGGCACATAATAAATCTATCAGTCAGTCTTTAATACCACAGCTGAATCACTGGGGATTTCTTCTAGGATGGAAATAAGAGGAACTCAGGATACTTCCTTGCACTAAAATAGGCTATTTTATTATAACTGCTTAGCACAAAATCGACTGGAAGACACTTTCTAAAGTTTCACCTAATGATGTGAAAAACATTTATTTGAAAGAATGTGAGTGAGAATGTGTAAAATTATTTCTGAGCATAGAACAGGCTGTTTTGAGTATCTTGGAGGGGTTTTGAGGTCTCCAAGGTGCTCAAAACAAAACATTCCACAAAATTTTGAAACATTTTGAAATAAAACACCACTAGATGCACCCTGCTGTTTGCAGCTAAGGGCTGTTCTCATATCAAGTCACTATTGAAAAGGCAGCGCTCAATCTCTGAGCATCTATCCCCAATATTTTTGTGCAGGAGATATACTCCCCTCCTGAATTTTAGCATCTCTTGAATAGAACAAATTAAAATGATTAATTATTTACTAAAATCTACCCATAAGCTTATAAATATAATACAAGTTAGTACTTGAACAGGGATTTAAGAATTATTAAACTTCTAGGCTTGATGTTATTAACTTATGCTTTAATCATAAGTTATTTTTTTAGAAAAATATGTGTAAATTAAAGTTGAAGTCTAAGACTTGAAACACTTGAGTATCTAAACTTGAAGAGTTTAGATACTCAACTTGTGAAGAGTATCTAAACTTGTGAAGAGTATCTAAACTTGAAACACTGAGTTTAAAAACTGAGATGTAAGTACAAATCAAACACAGTCTAAAAGAAATGACATACAAATGAAAATGAAACCTTGATTACTTCACACATTGTTTTAAGACATAATTTCTAATTGGCTCGGTTCACATATAAGAGAATTAGGATCAACCATGATTTACAACCACAGTGCTTTTATTCATATAATATGCTAAGCCAAAACCCAATAAGCCGTACTGATTTGCATCTGAGTGCTACTAATCAAATAAGCAGATCTTACCCATAGTGACAGTGGATTTGGTTACTCTCATAAGTCCTTCTAGGGTTGTTTCTGGTGTGTACAGAACTACATGGTAAGTTGAGGCAATAAGACCTACAGGAAGATTTTTAAAAAATGGATGACAAGGAGGTTAGTAATACCAGCAACAACAAAACCCTTTATTAATTTAAAATAAGGAAAGTAAACAATTATAATGAACTATTTTTTCTTTATTGGCAATTCCATAAACACAATTCCATATATGCAGAGGAATGTAGGCGATTCTCATCTTATGGCCACAATTGAGCCCAATATTTCTGTTGCTAAATGAGACATTTGTTAAGTGAGTTTTGTCCCACTTTAAGACCTTTCTTGCCCCATTTGTTAAGTGCAGTTGTTAAGTTAGTAAAACGGTTGTTAAGTGAATCTGGCTTCCCCATTGACTTTGCTTGTCAGAAGATTGCAAATGCTGTTCACATGACCTCAAGATACTACAATCATCATAAATATGAGTCAGTTGTCAAGCATCTGAATTTTGATCACATGATCATGGGGATGTTGCATTGGTCATAAGTATGAAAATGGTCCTGTCACTTTCAGTGGCCATTGTAACTTTGAATGGTCACTAAATGAACTGTTAAAAATTAATGACTACCTGTACTGTGCCTATCCACATCACTATATCAAAATCTAATTATTAACGGATAAAATCATATTGTTTTAGTATACTGACCATGGATTAAAACAGGGTAACACCACAAAGGCTGCAACTGACAATTTCTCCTCAGATGGGGCTAGGCTTTTTAAAGCAACCTTCTCCATCTGATGTTCTCCTGAGCTGTGGTTCTTGAATTTCAGCACCAAGGAAAATCTATCACTCTATTCTGTGAAGAGTATCTAAGACTTTACCTTTACAAAGGTCAAAATATAAAAGTAACATTGAGACCAAACATACTTAAAACCAAATGTAAAGAAAAATATAGTTATTTTATCATATATGTATACCACACTGATTATAAATCTTATTGGGATGTATAAACTTGCGTATAATAGTGAAACACATACGTGACATACACCTAAACATGCTATGTACAACATATGTATAGACCCACACCCCTACATATACATAACAAATATTAAATACTGTCCAGCTTGAATATATAACGGAAGGAGGAAGCTTGAGAGTTCACAAGGTTAATAGTGAATGCCAATAAACCTACTTTAATATAGAGGTTATGAAAAAGGCTATCAATGCATTTTCATTTTAAAGTTCATATTTTCAGTAAACTTTCAATGACTTTTTCAAATGTTTCAATATGATATCTGAGAAGAGGTTTGCCAGTGATCTTTCTTCATTCATGGAAGGAACAAAATGGAGATCAACTGGAGTCACTCCCACCTGGCTGAAATCAAGATTATTTTTATTTATGTGTACCTTGCCTTTATTATTTTTACAAACAACCCAAGGCAGTGGACATATCTAACACACCTTCCTCCTATTTTCCTTACGACGACAACCCTGTAAGATAGGTTGGCTAAGAGAGTGTGACCAGTCCAAAGTCACCCAGACTTTCATGGCTAATGTGGGACTTTAACTCATGGGCTCCTGCTTTCTAATCTGGTGCCTTATTCACTAGCTAGACCAAAGCGAGTATGAATGTTTTAATGCATGCACACTTCCAAAACCATGTTTGTCCATAATGCAATATGGCTCATCTACTCTGAAATCCCAAGTGCTATCATGGTTGATGGGGAAAGGCAGGAGCAGTAGGCTATCCTGCAAGGTATGATGGGGGGAGGGGGGGAATCTCCTGCAATCAGTATGTGGTATGAAGGAGTTTACCAATGGGAACAATGACCTTACAGTGTACAGGTAGTCCTTGACTTACGACCATAATTAAGCCCAAAATTTCTGTTGCTAAGCAAAACAGTTAAGGGATTTCCCCCCCCACCCATTTTATAACCTTTCTTGCCACAGTTGTTAAGTGAATAACTGCAGATGTTAAGATAGTAATACCGTTGTAAAGTGAATCTGGCTTCCCCATTGACTTTGCTTGTCAGACGGTCACAAAAGGGGATCCCATGACCCCGGGACACTGCAACGGTCATAAATATGAGTCAGTTGCCAAGTGTCTGAATTTTGATCACATGACCATGGGGATGCTGCAACGGTCATAACTGTGAAAAACAATCATGTCAGTTTTTTTCAGTGATGTAACTTTGGATGGTCATAAGGAACAGTTGCTGGAATTGGGTATGTCTAGTTTAAC